TCGTGTGGTGATCAACCCCGGACGCTTGAGTCATTAGAGAGGCTCGAGGTTGCTGGAGAGTGCACGTTGGCAGTTGGCCTGGGCGGCCTGATGCTGATGGTGGCCTGAGATCACTGACACTGACTGAGAAGGTTGGCCCACGGGCCCTGGACGTCAGGCTTATGGATGACAGGGCGACAGCCCCGAAAAGGTCTTTGGGCCGGAGTTGCGCTCCAGAGGGCGCTCACGGCAGGATAGGCCCCGAGGTATGGAGTTGCTATTAGAGTCATTGACGATGATTACACAGGAGAGGTGACGGTCTTGCTGCGCAATCGTGGAAAGCTTGCCCTTAAGTTGCGCGCGGGAGATCGTATGGTGCAGTTGGTGAACGAGAGGATAGCGACTCGAGACTAAAGTTGAGGAGCTGCCCAGCACCGGCAGAAGAGACGAAGGAGGAGAAGTCAGAAGTCGCATGTGAGAAAAAAGTCACCGTGGAAGTTCAAGAGAAACCCAAGGGACGAGGAGAAGGAGTCGGGAGCATCTTCATCGAGAAATGAAAGGGCACCATCGTCTTCAGAAGACAGGTGGGACAGACTCGGATGAGGGAACTTTGAGAGAAGGAGGGAGAGTATCTTGCAGGAAAGCGCTTCGAGATTGCACCACATCAGGATGGGGGCAATCCCGTGGGCAGACCCGACCTTGTCAGGAAGACAGGATACAGAGGTAGACCTTCGGGAATAATTAGCCCAGGATGTCTTGAGCCGACAGCTTGAAGAGCCGATTGAGTCAGCGGACAACAAGGATGTCCAAGCTGTCCCGCTTGAGCAGTACGTCGGCGTTTATGCGACGCGAAGGTGAAACCATGATGGGGCTGATCGAAGGGTTGGGCCTTGATTTCGCCCCGAGGTTGCTGCCAAGAGGATTCAGACCGAAGATCTTCCGACCCCAGCAGGAATGCCTTTCAAAGATGAGGTCATTGAGCTGACCGAGGATGGTCGACGCTGCCGCCAAACGTTGCGCGCGCACAAGAAGCCACAGAGCTGCCTTTTCGACCTCAAAAAGTTGGAGGATGGGGTGCGGCGCAACTGGAATGAAGCGTCAACGACCTTGATGTTTTAATGAATGGCCAGCGAAAGATTGTGGTGGTGGGATGCCGTCAAGGAGTCCATATGAGAAAGAGCCAGGGACCGGGTATGCGATTCTTCATCGTGTGGTGATCAACCCCGGACGCTTGAGTCATTAGAGAGGCTCGA